TCTCATATGTCCTGAGTCTTAACTGACCTTGGAAGGCTATAAGCCCTTCAATTTTACTGATTGCAGAAGAATGCTATATTTACATTTAGGGTTGACTTAATCAACCTCTTCGATGGTGGGTCTAGAGGAAGCACCACCAGAGGGAGGAGCTCCTCCACCAGGGAATTCCTTCAGGCCTGCCACCTGCACTCTGGTACAGCTTGGTGATGGAATTGCAGACTTTCTCCAGCTCCTGCCGATGCTCAAATTCTTCTTTCTCTGCAGTCTGATTCTTATCAAGCCATCTGACAATTTTGTTATACTTGTCAAGAATTTTCTGTTTATCTTCATCATTAATCTTGCCTTGAAGCTTCTCATCTTCAACAGTTGCTTTCATATTGAAAGCATAGGACTCCAATGAGTTCTTGGAGGACACTTTGCCCCTTTGCTTCTCATCTTCAGCTTTGTACTTCTCTGCTTCCTGGACCATACATACACTCTATGTCCTCCTTGCTCAAATGGCCCTTACTGTTAGTGATGGTAATCTTGTTCTCTTTTCCTGTACTTTTATCGACTGCAGAAACACTGAGGATGCCACTGGCATCAATATCAAAAGTTACTTCAATCTGAGGAACACCACGGGGTGCAGGAGGTATGGCTGTGAGTTCAAACTTGCCAAGCAGGTTGTTATCCTTGGCCATGGCCCGCTCACCTTCATATACCTGAATGAGCATGCCGGGCTGACTATCCGAGTAGGCAGTGAAGGTCTGGGCCTGCTTGGTAGGAATGGTGGTATTGTTATTTTCCATTGAAGAAGTCCTGCAAAAGCTTCTGGATCTTGGGGATATGGGTAGAACCACCCACCAGGACAATGTCATGGATCTGAGACTTGGCCAGTTTAGCATCTTGAAGAGTCTTTTCCACAAGGTCCAAAAAATATGGAATACTTCATGAATTTGCGTGTCATCCTTGCGCAGGGGCCATGCTAATCTTCTGTGTATCGTTCCAATTTTAGTATATGTGCTGCCGAAATGAGCACCATTACGTTTACTTATTTTTCTATTTCTCTCTTTCTCTCTCTCTCTTTTTTTTTTTTTTTGGTGGAACCGGGGATTGAACTCAGGCCCTTGAGCTTGCCTGGCAAGTGCTTATTCTACTGAGCCATCTCCCCGGCCCCTAGATACTTATTTTCCTACCCATGTTACCTGTCATTTTAAGAATGGTATGTTAGGGTTTCTGACTGTTACAAATATTTATTTTTCACTGCATCTTTTACAGTCTGTTTTATGAGTTGCAGTGTTAAATATTAATATATTCCTGTCATATTCATTGTGAATTTTGGCTCTCAGAATTTTAAAGTATTCTGCATGGTTAATGATTTATTTTATCAAGTACTAGGACTGCAACTCATGATTTTTTTCTCATTTTTTAGGTATCATTATTACTAGTAGTACATGTTTGTCAATCATGCAGATTTTTTTTTGAACATGAGCTGATTCTACTTATTTTATTTATTTATTTATTTATTTATTTTTGTGGAACTGGGGATTGAACTCAGGCCCTTGCGCTTGCTAGGGAAGCGCCCATTCCACTGAGCCATCTCCCCGGCCCCAATCATGCAAATTATAATCATCTTGGGGTGTGGTTACATGCACATACCACAGGTTCTGTTCTTTTTAAATCCTACTCCCCTGTTCCCCACCTTCCTCTTGCCTTCTGCAGTTCCCCTACACCATGTTTTACTCTTGTTGATATTAGCTCATATTGTGGCATACAATGTTTACATTAGTTGAGGCTATTAGATTCCCGTACATGATGCATCTTTATTCTACCTACTTCACTTGCTCCATCTTACCCATTGCCCTTTACCCCTTGGACCAGTTCCCTATTGCAAGAAATCAATCTTCTTGTCCCCTTCTATCCACCTTTATTATTTTCTTTTTACTATGCTTCACTCAAATGAGAGGTACTACATGGTATGAAAGCTTGTGTGTATGGTTTATCTCATGTTTTATTTTTAGGTGCATTATATTTTCTTGGTATATTCATTTTCCTACAAATGTCTCAAATTGTCATTCTTTATTAGCTGAATAAGATTGTATTATAGGGCCAGCCTGATAGCTCAGAAGACTAAAGTGCCTGCTTAGGCAGAGCGCAGCGGCCTGGGTTCAATCGCCAGAGTGCCTGCCGGCCCTGCCAATGGGGCACAATGACAACTGAGTCTGGGCACACACCTGTAACCCCAGCACTTGGGAGGCTGAAAACAGGAGAATCACTATGAGTCTGATCTATGTAGTGAGACCCTGTCCTACATACAGAAAAAGAAAAAAGATAACATTTTCTTTATCTAGTTGTGTAACTCATGATACATTTATTTATTTATTATTTAAAAATTTTTTTTTATTTTTATTTATTTGAGAGAGAGAGAGAGAGAGAGAGAGAGAGAGAGAGAGAGAGAGGGGTGTGTGTGTGTGTGTGGCCAGCTCAGCCCACCAGGGGGCGGGGCCGGCTGGCATGTGGTGCTGGGGGATTGAACCGCGGTCCCTGATGCCTTGCCAAGCTTGTTCCAAGTAGGTGCTTTAGACCACTGAGCCATCTCTCCAGCCCTATTTATTTATTATTTGATACAGGGTCCACTACACAGTTCACACTCCTAGGGATCTTCCTGTCTCAGTCCTTAGTGCTGGGATTACAGGTGTACTCCACCACTTCTGCTTTTGGGGCCAGCATGGTGCATCTGGGGTTTCGGGGCCAGCCCAGTACATCCAGGGTTCCAGGGCCAGCATGGGTCCTTGCGCTTGCCAGGCAGGTGCTTAGAGAGGCTGTTATCTCCACAGCCCTAACTTATGATTTTTTTATTGTTCCCATCTGCTTGTTAAATATGTTTCCTTCCTTTTATTATAAAACTTTCCGAATTGCATTATTTTCACAGGTGAATTAAGCCATTTATATGTCCTGACATGACTGACACATTTAGTCTTAACTGCCATGTTATTATTTTTCTTTATCTGCTACGTCCTTTAGAAAAGTTTTTTTTCGGTTTCAGTAGGCTTATATTTGTTACAGTTATTGTATGTACACTTAAAATTTACACCACCATTAACCTTTTTCTTCATTTTTAAAATCTAAATTATCCATTTTAAATGGCATCCTTTACATCTATCACCTGTGAAAACAATTATCTTATTCTACTTCTACCTCTCTATTCCCATTTTATTTGGTTGGAGCCTCACTGCCATATCAGAAGATTTTCTTTTTTCATATATTTTAGTGAAGGGTCTACAGGGTGTTCAGGGTCTCACTACCAGATCGGACTCCTGTTTACAGCCTCCCAAGAGCACGCCCCACCACGCCCAGTCTCATTTGCTAACTCTGCACGACCTGGGGGCGGGGCTGGCATGGCAGGCCAGGGACGCAACCCCCAGATCCTAAGCAGGCACTTTAATCTGCTGAGCTATTTGGCCTACCCTAGAACACAAGATGTTTACATGCAGATTTCTGCTGTTCCCACCAGTGCATCTTGGATCTCTTAATGAACAGAGGTAACAGCTTCCATCTCTCTTGTGCTACTCTGAGGCACCTAGGGTGGACGGCACCCAACTTCTGTAGAGTCCGCAGGAAGGTCCTCCAGTTCCCAAAGCAACAGTAACAACTCACTCAGCTGGTAGTTCTGGGGTAGGCAATTTGGTGAGTATAATAAAAACTTCAAAATGCCTTCCTTAGTTTTAATAATTCTACTTCTAAGAATCTAAAGTATACAACTGTTCCATCAGGAAAAGTATTAAAAAACACATGTACATGTATAAAAATGTTCTTTCCAGCTTAGACTGCAAGTAGAACACAAATCTGGATGCATGCTAACTGGCTGAAAATTGTATATTAATTATATAAAGGCTGTCATGGGTTAATATACAATGAAACAGAAAATAAAAGTGCATTACGTGAGAGTGGGTAAGAATGCAACTAAGGTTCAACTTCCTGAATTTACCACTGCCATCATACTATCTCACTTTTTGTTTTGTTTTGGAATTTTGAGACAGGGTCTCGCTATGTAGTGCAGACAGGCCTTAAACTGGCAGCCATCCTCCTGCCTAAGCCTCCTGAGTAGTGGAATCACAAGGGTTTACCACCACCAACCCTGGCTTGACCATACCACTTTAAGCAAGTGAATTAACTTCACTAAACTTTATTCATTATAAAAGCATATTTTTAATATATACAGAGATGCTGCAACAGCTAAAAAAACTATACAAAAGATTTTTTTATACAAAAGATTAAACAGTCTTTTATATGTATTGTATGGAGATGACAGCTACTATTATATTACAGTTCTTAAACTATAACTTTTTTTTTTGGTCCTTTTGAGACAAGGTCTTGCTATGCCGCTCAGGCTGGCCTTGCGCTCACTTTGTAGCACAGGCTAGTCTCCTACCCTCAGCCATCCTCCTGCCTCAGCCTCCTGAGTGCTGGGATTATAGGTATGCGCCACCATGCCCAGCCTATGACCCCATTTTTGTGTTTAATAAGAATATAATGATAAAAGTACTGGGATGATTAGATAACAAATTTAATTTTGAAAGTACCTCTAAAAAAAAAAAAAAAGTACCTCTAGTATAATTTCATGTATGTGCTGAAGAACATTTTTCTCCCTTAAAATAATATATGTATTTCTCCATGTATTTCAAAGTTTAAAAATTGTTGAGATCAGATAATGAACTTCACATTATTTATGGATTTGGTAAATCTTTAAAGAATTATTTAATATGGTGTACAGAGGTTGACAAAGGTTCTTGCTATGTAGTTCAGGCCAGTCTCAAAATTTGTAGTGGCGATCCTCCTGCCTCAGGCTCTTCAGTGCTGGGACTACAAACCTGTACCACCATGTCCAGAAAGTTATCTCATTTCTGAGATTTCTCAGTATTTTAAAACTATAGTTAATCTGACTTTCCTTTTTTAACATCACATAAGTCAGTTGAATCACCTTATTAAAAAAAAATATTTTTTGAAAAGCATTCACCTACCCTTGTAGTTGCTGCTGTTGGTGAGAGGAAAGGGGCACTCTTGGTTTGTTCCAGCCAGTATAATCTTGGTTACATCGCAGTTTTTTAACAGAAAGAGGAACTGGCTGAGGAAGAAATCCCAAACTTCTTTTGGCAGAGGGAGTTTGGCTTGAAACATTAGTCCTATAAAAAAAAAAGAATAAATATACAAGCTCTTTTTTTTTTGGTACTGGAGATCAAACTCAGGACCCTGCACTTGCTAGGCAGGTGCTTAAGCTGCTGAGCTATCTCCCCAGCTCACAAGATAAGTTTTGTATGCTATTTTCTCCCCTGAAGTAGATTCCTAGTAGTCAATCTCTAAGGAAAAAAAATTTTAATTTAGGAAAATATTTGTGATATGGATCACTGGGGGAAGACAATGCAAACTAAGTCTGTTGACAGGATGCTGAAGAAGCTTAAGAATATACTGCAGAGGGTCAGGGAGATGGCTTAGTAGAATAAGCGCTTCCCTGGCAAGTGCAAGGGCCTGAGTTCAATCCCCAGTTCTGAGAAAAAATAAATAAATAAATTTTTTTAAAAAAGAATATACTACATATATTAAATTCACAACCAAGATAATCCAACTTGATGGCTTAAGGAAAAGCCCCCCCCCATGAATATTACACATTAATTTATCTAATCTTGGGCAGATTTACGCAGTCAACTTTTCCCACTACTAGAAATAATATAACAAATACTTTTTACCCAAGCTCTTTGGAGAAATCCTCTATTTTAAAGTTTAAGATCGATTTTTTTTTTTTTTTGGCGGAACCAGGGATTGAACTCGGGCCTTTGTGCTTGCCAGGGAAGTGCTTATTCCACTGAGCCATCTCCCTGGCCCAGGATCAAAAATATTTGGGATACTTTTAATTACATAAAATGGACATACTCTTATCAAATCTTATAAAAAAGAGAAGAGTCAAATCCACATAATTAGGAATGAAAAGGGTGAAATCACAATGGATCCTGCAGCCAGAAGATGCAAGCTAATAACATAGAAAATGCAGAAGAAATAAAAGATTCACACACACACACACACACACACACACACACATGAATTACCAAAGCTGAATCAAAAAGTTACTAAATCCTAAATAAACCAATCAATGAAATCAAAGATTTAAAAAAAAAAAAAAAGAAATCAAAGATTTAACTAAAACATCAAAGAAAAGGCCAGGCCCAGAAAGACTCACTGCTGAATTCTACAAGAAATGTGGAAAAGATCTAACACCACTATTTCTCAAACTTTTTAATGAAATTGGAAGGGCAGCAATACTTCCAAATTTATTCCAGGGAGTGAATATTAGCCTGATAGCAAAGCTGGAGAAGGAACCAACCAAGAAAGAATTACAGGCTAATTTCCCTGATGAATACTGACGAAAAAATCCTCAATGAGATTACTGGCAAACCGAATGCAGTAAATCATGCAAAAGATTACATATATCATGACGAAGTTCAATTCATCCCAGGGATATAGGGATGGTTGAACATAAGCAAATCAATAAATGTGATACACCATTTTAACAGAGACAAGGACAAAAACCACCTGTTCATCTCAATTGATGCTCTCTCTAAACTCAAGAACAAGACAAAGATGTCTACTGTTGTCATTCTTATTTAACAAAGTCCTGGAAGCTTTTGCTAGAGCAATTAGACAAGAGAAAGAAACAAAAGAGGGCCGGGGAGATGGCTCAGTGGAATAAGCACTTCCCTGGCAAGCACAAGGGTCTGAGTTCAATCCCCCGTTCCGCCAAAAAAAAAAAAGAAAGGAACAAAAGAAATAATGATAAAAAGGAAGTTAAATTATCATTATTTGTAGATGACATAAAATTCTACATAGAAGACACCAAAAATGCCACTAAAAACCTGCTAGACTGAATAAACAAATTCAATAGCATAACTAGACATATGATCAACATTCAAAAATCAATAGCCTTCCTGTACATAAATAATAAATTCACTGAGAGACAAGTTAGGGAAACAACACTTCACAATAGCATCCAAAAAATGAAATACACAGGAATCAATCTAACATAGCCTGCAAAAGATCTCTACATTAAAAACTACAGTACTTTGAAAAAGGAGATTGAAGAGGATATCAAAAAATGGAAAGATGCCCCTTGCTCTTGGGTAGGAAGAACCAATATAGTGAAAATGGCCATACTTACAAAACTGTTGCACAGATTTAATGCAATTCCAATAAAAGTTCGAATAGCATATGTCACAGAATTAGAGAAAACAATCCTAAAATTCATTTGAAAACCATAAAAGATCTAGAATAGCAAAGGCAATTCTGGGCAACAAAGACAAGGCAGGAGGCATTACAATCCATGATCTGAAATTAAACCACAAAGCTATTATGATAAAAACAGCATGGTACTGGAAAAAACAGACCCAACGATCGATGGAACAAAATAGAAGCTGCAAAAACAACTCCAGACATACTCAGCCAATTTATCTTTCACAAAGGTACCAAACATATTTACTGGAAGAAAGCAAGCCTCCTTAAAAAATGGTGTTGGGGGCTGGGGAGATAGCTTGGCCCTCTAAGCACCCGCCTGGAAAGCTCAAGAACCTAAGTTCGATCTCTTGATACCACATGCTGTGCCAGCCTTGGAACCCAGAATGCCCCAGGCTAGGAAGGCTGACATAGGAGGATTGCTATGAGTCTGAACTGCTGAACTGCATTGTGAATCCCTGTATCAAATAAATAAATTCATAAATAATTTTTTTAAAAAATGGGGTTGGAAAAACTGGCTTTCCACATACCAAAGACTAATACTAGACCCATGCACTAAAATAAAACCAAAATGGATTAAAGATCTAAAACATGAAATAGAAACATTCAATTTGCTGCAAGATAGAATAGGTTAAAACTTTCTTTTCCTTGGTATGGTATTAGAAATCAAACTCATGACCTCACTTTTGTGTGTGTGTGTGTGTGTGTGTGTGTGTGTGTGTGTGTGTGTGTGTGTATGTGGTACCAGGAACTGGACTTGGGACCTTATACTTGCCATGAAGTGCTTATGCCACTGAACTATATCCCTAGCCATGACCTCACTCTTGCTAGGCATGCACCGTGCCATGGAGTTATACCCCCAGCCCAGAATAGGTAAAACTCTGGAAGACATTGGTATAGATAAAGACTTCAGGAATAAAGGGCCAGGGAGATGGCTCAGTGGAATAAGTGCTTCCCTGGCAAGTGCACGGGTCTGAGTTCAATCCCCGGCTCCGCCAAAAAAAAGACTTCAGCAATAAAACCCCAATTGCACAGGAACTATCACAAAGAACATCTGGGATCTCATTTAAAAGCTTTTTGCATAGTAAAAGAAACCACCAACAGAGTGCAAAGACAACCCACAAAATGTGGGGAAGAAAATCCTTGCCAGCTTTTCCTTAGACAAAAGATTACCATTGAGAATATAAAGAACTCACAAAAAGCAGATCTCCCAAATGTAATGATCCAATCCAAAAATGGGCAACTAAGGAGCCAGTAAGATAGCTCAGTGGACTAAAGTGCCTGCTTAGGCAAGCGAAGGCAAGTGCAGGGACTGAGGTTTGATCCCCGGTGTCACATGCCATTCCAGACCCACTCCCAAGACAGGCTAAGCTGCATGTAGTGGTACATGCCTGTAATCTCAGCGCTGGGGAGGCTGAAGACAGGAGGATCATTATGAGTGTGAGGCTGAAGACAGGAGGATCATTATGAGTGTGAGGCTGAAGACAGGAGGATCATTATGAGTGTGAGCTGTAACAACCAAATACATTAAAAAGAAAGAAAAGGGCAACTGAGATGAATACACACTTTTCAGTAAAAGAAATACCAACAACAAATAAATATATGAAAAAATGTTTAGCAACACTGACCATTTATACTGAGATTCCTTCTCACCCCAGAAGGAATGGCTATTATCAAAAAATCAGGGGTCAGGGTGATAGCTCAGCAGCACAATTAACTGCCTGGCAAGCCCAACATCCTGAATTTGATCCCCAGCACCAAAAAGAAAAAAAAAAAAAAAAAAAAAAATCAACCAATAACAAATGCTACAGGAGACGTGAGGAAAAAGAAACCCTTCCACTGTTGGGAGTGTAGAGTGGTGCAACCAATGTGGAAATCAGTGTGGAGATTCCTCAAAAAACTAGGAATGGCATTCCCATTTGACCCAGCTATTTCTCTTCTGGGTATCTTCCCAGAAGAATTCAAAACATTGAAGCATAGTGATATATATGCACCCATGTTTATAGCAGCGCAATTTGTAATAGCTAGATCTGGGAAACAACCCAGGTTCTCATCATCCAAAGAATGACTTAAAAAGATGTGATCTTTTTATACAATGAAATATACTACTCAGTCATAAAGAAGGATAAACTGGAGGCTTTTATAGGTAAATGGATACAACTCAAGAGTGTGGTGGTAGGGCTGGGGAGACAGCTCAGTAGAATAAGCACCTGACTGGCAAGCATGGGTCCTGAGTTCAATCCCTGATACTGAAGTAAAAAAAAAAAAAAAAAAAAAAGTATGGTGGGTAGAGATTTCACTCCATTCAGTTGCCTTGTTTTTGGTCTTTTTTTATTTTACCGGATTTTTTTTGGTTGAATTGTTTTTTAGGGAAGGTTTATGTTTTGTTTTTGGTGCCAAGGACCGAACCCAGGGCTTCCAGCTTGCTAGGCAAGCATTCTACCACTGAGCCAAATCCCCAGCCCCTCACTCCATTCAGAAGTCATGTAAACTTTAGATAAACTCACTCTTGTCCCCCAAACATATGCTAAGCAATTTTCATTTGTAAGCAATTGTATTTCTGATGTGATTTCTGACAAATGCTACAATGACTGTATTCCGCCTCTCTGAAAAGTACCTGCTCTTTTTAGAAACTAGACCAAGTACTATATAAGCCACTGTGTCCCTATCGTTGGGGGTTGATGCTCCTGACTGGCAACAGTTGGGGTATCACCTGAATGCTAAGTAAAACTCTGTTTGTTCCATATCAACCATTTGTGAGTGATTCTGGTTATCTGCCATAACAAAACCATACTTATAACTGAAATATACCAGACGCACATGTGTAAATATTGTATTATCTCCCAAGTGTGAGAAGCTGCAAGAGTAAATAAGATCCAAACTATACAATAGACAGCAATTATATTTCTGACTGGCTTTTTCCAATGAAAAGTACTCAATGAAGTTTTATTTTTTAAAGACAACTTGATTTTTTGAATGCAGCTAAAATACAAAAAAGCACAAAAGAAATGTAAGTGTCAGAGATGAGATCTTGGTATGCTCACCATTAGAAAGGATGGAAAATACAGTGGCCAAAATATGCTAACACTAGAAGTCACAACCAGCAGGCTCAATACAAATTTTTCCAGATCTCAGTTTACTAATACATAGAAAAACTTCAAAACATTTCTACAGTACTTTCTACTTAAAGTGTCATGATACTATGACTCTCAATTTTGGGGTGTGGTGGCATGGGAGTTGAACCCAATGCCTCAGGCATGCTAGGCAAACACTGCAACACTCATTAGTTCTGATATTCTTAAATTTGGGTAATTTTCGAGTATAATGCATAGCTTGTCCCACCATTCAATATCCTGAAAAAGAGCTCTTCTTTTTCTTTAATGATAACATTATGTGAAAAGTGAGGGTGCGGGGGTAAGGGACCAACTGGCTCTGCAGAGCAAACTTGGGCCAAACAAAAGAGGAAAAAAGAAAAATAAAAATAAAGTACACCCTGGGTTTGGAAAACAGAAACAGAAAGCTGTTCAAATATTTCATAAGGCATCTATCACATACCTATCTAGGTTAGCGACACTAGATGAATAGTCCTTGGATCCAGCTCTGCTGCCATAAAATGATGATGACTGCAAAGGTAAAAGCCCTATGACACAACAGAAAAAGAAAAAATTGAATACCTAGATTAACCACATAATTTCATTTAATAATAAAATTAAACACTGGGCATGTATGTTTGTTTCCTTCCTTCCTTCCCTTTTCTTCAGCACCAGGGATCAAACTTAGGACCTTGTACTTGCCAGTAGGCACTTCTGCCACTGAGCCATCTCTCCGGCCCTGGGCATGTTTACTTTCAACTTTGCCCCATTTTTCACCAAAGTACACTATAATCATGTTAAAAGAGATTAAGTACTACGGAAAAAGTTACAATAGCAAAGCACTATTTCTCTACCCCAAAACTCCAAATTTCTAAAATGTACTTTTTTTTTGAGGCAAGGTTTTACCATGTATTCCAAATTGGCCTTGAACTCTCTATTGGCAGGTAGTATTCAAGACAGTCTTCTTGCCTAAACTTCCAAAGTGCTGGGATTACAGACATAAGCTACCACACTTGGCTTCTAACCATTTTTAAAAATTAGTTTTCTTCTTCTTCCATAAAGCTAGATAGGATATTTTTATTATTTCTTGATTTATTCATTTTATTATTTTTATTCTTATGTTGTTTTGAGACAAGGTATTGCTATGCAGTTTAGGCTGACCTTTAACTTATTTTGTAGCCCAAGCTGGCCTTAAACTCTCAACGATCCTCCTTCCTCAGCCTCTCGAGTGCTAGGATTTCAGGCATGTGCCACCATGCCCAGTGATTTATTCATTTTTAACATATTAGCTGACTCATTATAGAAAATTAGAAGCTTCTCATATCACCCTAAGCTGAGGTCCAGGAAGATATGTACGGAGGCAATCTAGTCTTGCTGTTCTCCAAGTGATTATTACTTGTGTTATATTAGTTATTCTGCTGATTAACTCTAGAGTTTAATGTACTTAATACTTCTGCATTTTGTTTCATGCATTTTTCTGGTAACTTTACTATGCACTCTCTTCTCTTGGTGCATGTCTCCCACAGCACCTTTTTTTCTTCTGGGATGCTGGGATTGATCCCCGGGTTGTACAAATGCTAGACAAGTATTCTACCACCAAGCTGCATCACCAGCCCTTACATCAACTTGTAGAAGATCCTTACCTTCCATACGATCAAGCTTTATGAATGCCCAGGCCCTGACCTGTTCGAGGCGCTTTAATCCCTTGAGCTATTTGGCCAGCTGGTGAACAGCCATCTCCAAGAAGCAAAACAAACAGGAACTGGAGCTGGACTGTTCCCCGAGCAGCGAGCACACTGAATCTACTGGGGGGGAGGGGGGGGGTTTGCTGCTGTCCTAGTTCTTGTAAAAGCAGTGGAAGGCAAGCTTAAATGTTGTAGGCAGTAATTTCAAGTTCACTGACATAAAAAACTTTTCTAATTAGCAGAATTACTGATGAAACTTAGCTCCAAACACATTAACTCCTCTGATTCAACCTATGGTCAAGTACAATGACAATGAGAGAACTTAATTTCAGACAAATAAAAGGAGGTCAAATCTAGATTAACTAGTACTATATACACTAGCCCTGAATAATGCAGTGCTTTATGCTCCACTTTAGGTTTTTACTTCTATCTAATATAGTATTATCATATTTTACATGAAGAGCTTACTTACCTGATGTCCGATTTTCTTCAGACTGTTTCAAACTCAACTGCTTTTCTCTGCTATTGGTTAAATACTTTCTTGAGGGATCTGTCATAACCTTGTTGTTCCTATAATTTTAAATAATAATTTTGTATCACTGAAGAGATATTAAAAATCAGCAGGATAAGTTGTCAGATGGAAGTCAACTTATCTCTATCTTTAGCCACTGTAATACTTCTATAGTCTCTATGAATAAAATAGTCATGGTGACAGAGAGAAACTATAGTAGGGAACCGGCCACATAGGTCAGTGGATTAAAGCACCTGCTTAGGCAGACGCAGGGATCAGGGCTTGATCCCCAGCCTGCCATGGTGCTGGTGCTGGCCCTGCCCCCAAGGTATGCTGAGACTGTGACTGAAACTGGACATGGTGGCTCCAGCCTGTAATCCCAGTGCTTAGGAGGCTGAAAACATGAAGATCACTATTACTGAGACCCTGTACTAAATACATTTTTAAAAAGTACCCCTCAGAAATGATCTTATTAGGAATAAGATGTTCTTTAAAATATACTATATATATGGGTTGATATTCCTTATTCAGAATGTTGGGGATTAAAAATGTTTTACATTTTGGAATATTGGCACATGTATCTGAGGGACAGAAGCAAAGTTCTAAACACAAGATTCAAATAATCCTTGTATACAGAGCTTGAAAGTTGTTTTATAAAATATGTTTAGTGTACCCGTGTTCTGTATGTTACCTGTCATGGGGTCAGATGTGAAATTTGAGAATCATGTCAGAACTCAGTAGTCTGTGCTTTTCATCATTCAAATTTAGATGCCACGGGGGCCCTATTTCTAAGATGAGGAAGTATTTCATCAGAAGGCATTGTAAAAAAGCAATTAAACCTGATGTCACTGCTACTACCTAGTCATTTTGGGCTTTTCATGCTGGTAGATCAACAGGCAAAGAAAGGGATTACCACACTAGCAAGAGGTAAGTGATCATTATAAGGAGGAGAGGCTGCTGCTATACAATGAAGACAGGGAGTAACTGCAATAACCCAGATTCACTTGGGTACCTCCTAGTGCTCTCATGTTCATCCAACATGGCTCTCACGTAGTTTTAACTGGCTTAGCTCAACAGTGGCCTGACCATGGCCAGAGACTCAGAGCTCTCAAGCATGAAGACTGCAGACCAGGCAAACCATCGAGACTGAAAGTGTTGGTACAGGATGCAGGGAATACAAAAAGATACTGCGGGGGGGGGGGGGGATGATATCAGTTATAGCCTCAAGGCCATGTACAGCAATGTACCACTATATCTCAGCCCACTAAAGTCTTGTTTTGCAAGATTCTCCCCTTGAAACTGGACTATCAGTGTGAGGAAATTATGGCAAAATGGAATGAACCTAATGAGAAGGACTGCCTCTTTTTTTGTGGTATTAAAAATTGAAACCTGGGCCTTACACATGCTAGGCACATACTGTACCACCAGGCTACACACCGAGACCAAAAAGATTCTTTTGTTGTATGTTTTTGGTGGTGGAGCTGATTAAAGGTAGGGTCTTGTATATATGCTAAGCATGAGCTCTCACAGCTACATTCCCTATCGTATCAGGTTTTTACTGGACCATGCTCATGTTCCATCAGAGTCCCGCAGAACCTTTTATTATTCTTTTCATATCACCTGATTGTTTCCAACATGTTTAAGTCATAACCTGCAGTGATTCAGAAAATTGCATGTGAACCACTTAAAGGATTTTGTCCACTGAGACAGAAACGAAAAACCTCAGGGTAGCTGTTAGCCAAAGATTGTCCAATGTAGCAATAAAAGGTAAACTCTAAAGACTCCTGCCAGATCAAGAGATCTCTTGAACACATCCTCGCCTGGCTGTCTTCCCTTCTGTCTTCCAATCTTGGTAGTGGCAGATGGTTTTTAGTACAACAGCTTTCATAACAGAAAAGGAACAGCAACTTTGACTGGTTGATTTGAGGCACAGCTCTCAAAACCATTTCTGAAAACCTATGCCCTATCTTTACAGCTTTCCTAATGATTCTGGAAGCCATTCAATACTGTGTTCTAAAACCTTTGTGCTTCAACTAACTAAAGTGCATTTGCGCCTCCAAACTTGGACCTTGAATATAAATTTTGTTTCTGAAAGTGGGATGTTAGCCTAACAAACACTATTTAGAAGGGTAGGGGGTAAGGATATGGATATGCTATAGATTACAAAACTAGCAATCATTTCTATGCTTCAGCAAAATACTTGATAAAAGCTGCCATCTGTAGTATCTTGGAAGTCAGACTTCATCCTCACTACAATTACAATTCTAAGGACAGAAATAAAGAAATATTTGTCTTGGTTAGTGCTTTGCAGTCCCACCCAAGACAAATTCAAACTAGAGGTAGCCAGCTTATGATCTGGTATGAAAGGAACATAGCTTTCTGTACCAGAGGCCTAGAATCAAAACTGCCCAGTAATGTGAGATCATAGAGGATCAAAACTTCCAATCTTTTCTGATTCTAAAATTGAGAAAATGGTATCAGAGAAACTTTTAGTGAAAAAATTTTAATATTAAGCAAAACTTGATGAAAGAGATAATGAAACATTCTTTGCAATGCTTATATAAATAAATCTAAAAGAACCCCCAAATGTAAGTTTATTAAAAATAAACCAAAACCAAAAATATTAGCCTCATTTGTTTCTCAAGCCCTAAGAAGGCTATTTTATGTTTAAATAAATCTCCGGATTTTCAAAACTTCTAGACCTAGACCAGCATGAACTCGCATACAAAAGCTCTATGGCCCTGAGGAAAAACTCTGCAAAATTTACTTCTTGTTGGCTTTCATCAAATAGAGAAGGAATACCTACCAGAAAGCAAGGTCAGTCACATGGAATACGATAAGCAAGGGAGTTCCTCCTAGAGGACAGAATCAGACTGCTAGCTGGGCTAACCATGAACTTATTCCACTGTCTTCACTGTCACAATTTCTATCTCACAAAATTTTATCACTACTATGAGCAGAGACTCATCTAGTTTTCTATTCTTGTCTCTTCTAAACAGAACTTTTTACTGTGGTTACCCAGTTCCTATTCCAGCAATGCATGCATGACAATGGGATGGGAAAATGCAAATTAACCTGCTGTCTAATTTTTAGGTACCAGACCGTAAGGGGAACAGACAAGGCACAGCTGGACTTTATGGAGAAGACTAGACATCAACCAGGGAGCCTCTGAGCTGTGTACAATACTTAAAGACTTGGAGTTTATCCCCATTAGGACGACAGTAAGGCTATATACTATGAACCAGTGACAGCACTATTGCACATTTATTCTTTTGTTAAAGAAATTCTCTCTTTCTCTCTCCCTCTCTCACCAAAATACTTTAAATGCTGCTCTACTATCTTTGGAATTCTCACCAGTTGAACATTCCTGCAATATTTCCTAGTGGTTGTGACTATCAGTAGAAGAAACACCAATCTAGTGCCATAAGGGCACTTCAAGCAACTTACGATGATGAATCATTTTCCTTAGGGTAATCTTCATTGAGCTCTGAGCCAGATGATAGCATTCTTTTCCTCTTTTCAGTGCTACACAGAAAAAAGTTATTTTTCAAGTCATAATTCATATACCATTCAAAATTATAAGTCAATTATAGCTTAAAGACAAGAAATATGACTGTTTTCTAACTCTCTACACCCCACTTAAATTAATATGCTGTGCAACTGCAGGCTCAAGACGTGTCACTAATATAAGCTATTTGGGTTTTTTTTGGTTGTTTTTTGTTTTTTTTAGTTTATTTATTTGTGCGTGCGTGTGTGTGTGTGTGTGTGTGTGTGTGTGTGTGTGTGTGTGTCTGTGGCCAGCTCAGCCCACCAGGGGGCAGGGCTGGCTGGCATGTGGGGCTAGGGGATTAAACCGCGGTCCCTGTGCTTTGCTAAGCTTGTTCTAAGTAGGTGCTTTAGACCACTGAGCCATCTCACCAGCCCCTGATATAAGCTATTTGAAACACATGAAATCACTTTAAAAAATTATTATATACTTTTTTCTTCCTCAAATTTCTTTTTTTATGTATTTGGTATGCTCAGACTTACAGTGATCCTCCTGTTTTCAGCCTCCCCAGCACTGGGATTACAGGTGTGCACCACCACGTGGCTGGCTCAGCACGTCCGGGGGGTGAATAGGCACGCCATGTTGTGCCAGGGATTGAACCCCGGTCCCTGAGGTTTCCTAAGCAGGCACTTAGTCTATCTCACTGACCCGCCTCCTCAAATTTCTATAAGGCCTAAAAAGGACCGGCTCAGTGGATTAAAGTGCCGGCAAACAGGTGCAGGGCCCAGGAGTTCAATCCCCAGGCCTGCTGTGCCAGCCCCATCCCTGGGCTGTGCTGAGATGGCGACTGAGACTGGGCGTGGTGGCATGCCTGTAATCCTAGCACTTGGGAGGCTGTAAGCAGGAGAATCACTACGAGTCTGATCTAGTGGTGAGACCCTGAACACCCTGTTGACCCTGCCCTAAAATTAAAAAAAAAAAAAAGGCCTAAAAGACATTTATAAACAATTACTTGAATGACAAAGTAAGAAACATTTTTCCTACCGGTTTTCTAATAACCCTGATCTAAGAGGTGTTGATGTAGCTGTCAAAGAAGGAATCGTCCTGGTGACAGTTATTCCACTTCCTGCTACAGTCTTAATGGATCCTCTACCTGGATTACCAAGAACTTTTCGAAATGGAATATCATCTTTAGTTTCCAAACTTCCTCTTTTCGAAGAGACCTGAAACAATAAAGTTTACAATAGTTAAATCTTCAAATTAATTGCAACCCAGGCCTTTCATATGCTAGCCAAGTACTCTACCACTGAGTTTCACTTCAGCTCATTCATATATATACATATTTGGTCTTACGAAATAGGGTTTCAACATGTAGTTCAGGCTGGCCTTGAACTCACTGTGTAGTATAGGCTATCCTCAAACTCGTAACAATTCTCCTCCTTTGCTTCCCAAGTACTGGCAATGTCTGTCTTTTTGAGAGAGGATTTCACTATGCAGCTTAGGCTGGCTTTAAACTTATTTTATAGCCCAGGCTGGCGTCAAACAGTGATCCCTCCTGCCTCAGCCTCTGGAGTGCTGGGATTAAATGTGTGCACTACCATGCCTAACCACAATACATATTTTTAAAAGCACACCAGAGGATTCAAGGGCATAACCAAGTATGAAAAACTGAACTTGACTCTTTCCTGTGGTACTCTCAGAAACTTAAAAAAAATCCCACAGCACAGTTGGAAAATGCAAAAACTTTATTTTATTTAGGACAGGGTCTACAGGGTCTTCAGGGTCTCACTGTGTAGATCGGACCCACAGTGATCCTCTTGTTTACAACCTCCCAAATGCTGGGATTACAGGCACACACCACGCCAGGTCTCAAACGCCATCTCAGCATGCGCTGGGGATGGGGCCAGCAAGACAGGCCCGGGGATCGAATTCCCGGACCCTGTGTCTGCCTAAACAGGCACTTTAATCCACTGAGCTATTTGGCCAGCCCCAAAACCTTATCTTGAATAATTTCTTAAAAAGAGGTAATTCTAATGATCAATATATCTGGGGAGAGCCAGCCAAATAGCTCAGGGGATTAAAGAGCCTGCTTAAGCAGACTGGGTGGGCAGGTGGGAGGTGGGGGTGGGGTTGGAGTTGTTTCCAATGTGGGCTTGCCTTACCGGCCCCGCCCCTGAGGCATGGTGAGACTGGGAGTGGTGGTGCACACCTGTAATCCCAGTACTCAGGAGGCTGAACACAGGAGAATCACTAAGAGTCTGACCTACTTAGTGAGACCCAGTAGGCCCTGTACTGAATACAAAAAAGAAAAAAATATATCTGGGGGAAAAAATACAATGTTAAATAGTAA